TTTTCCCCCCCCCCCCCCTGAGAACTAAGGTTGGTTCTGCCCCCGTTTATGAGTAATAAGATGATCATTTCTTTTCTTAAATAAGATATTAGCAATTATAAAATCATAAGCTATAGAAAAATCTAATATGATACTACCACCTTCATTAATCACTCCAAACTTATAGCCACAATGAATAATTTTAAAATCATCTACCTTTTTACCAACATGTCCTTTTAAATCTCTTTCAATGAAGACTTTTTCTTTAACATATATCTTTTGTATTAATTCTTCTAAGTTATTTTAAAATTTTAATTTTAAACACATCCAAAATTATTTGAAGAGCATAAGCACTTATAGTATTAATAATCTGAGCATTAATAACAATAGATAAAGATATACTTCTATATCCAATTATATTCATTTTTATAATATTATCCTTCAAACTCTTATTTATAATCACGCATACACCATTTCTAGCATGATTTCTACTAGAATACAAAAGTTTAAATCATAAAATATCAATCACCTTAACATTCTCTCCAACCCATTTAGTTTCTTAAATGCATATGATATTTATCTTCTTATGAATCATAATATATGTTAATTTTATTAATTTGCGTGAAAGGGAATATATATTCTAAGTTCATATCTTAATTTTAGTTTCACGGACTAACTTCTTTGCCCACATATGTCCATGATGTGCAATCCTTGTCTATTTAACACTGCATCTGGCCGCCAATGCAGCAATCCTTACACACCTGTCGCTTCCAAGGAACGTCTTAGTATTAACACAATGTATAAAATGATTTATGTCAAAATGATTTGACAAGTTTTATGTTAGATGTCGACTACTTGGAGCCAAGTTGCGATGGTTGAATTGTTTGATTGCCATGTTTGCACTTCAAACAGTGCTAAAATGGGCGATTACAAATATAGTGGTCTTTACTTTAGTATCATACTACATTCTTCCATTGTACATATACCCCTTCATATAGATTATCTTTATGAAGCATGGCAATGCATCATAACATGTACAGAAAAGTGTTCTCCATTAAAGCAAGTGTTACATACCTTATTAAGCTATAAGTCCTTAATCAAACTTCTCTTCAATTTCTTCTGCTTTCTCTCAATTTTTATCAAGTTCTCCAAGTCTCACATTATAAAACCTGGGTAAACTCCTCTCTTAAAGCTACCTTATCCACTTATTAACCCTTATGCCACCAACCTACTTACACGAAGCCATAATCTTCCCCACTTCATTTGTTTCGAACCTTGCATAACATTGGCGTGCCTTTATGAATGATCAAGATTTGTGAGCACAAATCTGTAAAACGAAAAGCGCTTCATTTTAAAAATTTCTGTAGACTTTCTGCAAAGTAAGCAGCTTAGGGAATCTCCAACCGAACTCCAAACACATGAATGACGTCGCTCGAGAGCTCCAGCCGAACTGTAAAATTTCCAGTATTTGATTGAGGGTGAACAGTGCGAACGTCGCACTGTTTACCTGTGTTATTTTTCTGTCTCTACCGAATTTATCGAAGAAACGCGTGAAAGATGAGAAAGACGGTTACCTTCTGCGAAGAGTGCAAAATGGAGTTCCATTGGAGATGAATCGTGTCATTTTTTAGCTTCACTGTATTTTGCAGCGAAAAAAGAGATTTTCGGTTGGAGATGCCCTTAGTCTAATCCCATCTTCATCCAATTTAAGGAATTATCACAATAGGCTGGCATCATGAGCAATCCAAGTTCTGGCGTTAATTCTTATATGCTAATAGAGCAGCTCACGTTACTCAGGCCCCATAGTTTTGATGGATCTCTTAACATTCTGCCAAAAAAACCTCTTTCTTCAATCCTAGCCATATCCTGTGGCTAAAACCGTGTAATTTTCCAACTGGATAGCTGCTTGCCGACGCAAGTGGTAACTGCTTCCTGGTACCCATTAATGGCAATTTATCTTATCTGGACTCATCAGATTTTGTTTTGATTCATTTCCTCTCTCGTTAAAATATCTCTTGTCGCATTGCATGCAAACTTTGGTTGGCAAGAAGGACATCGTAAGCCCTCTCATCATTTGATCTGTTTGTTTCTTTGTTTTGAGTAACAAATCAACTATCCTTCTTTGATTTGTTCTACTTGAACTACTGCGATTAGTTTTACAGTTGTTTGATTTTAGTATCTTCCTCTGGCGTACAATTTGTCATAAAAATAGAAGAAAGGATTCCTAATATAAAATTTGATGTGAGGATTTAAAGAAATATAAATAGAGAGAGATAACAATATGCACAAAACACAAACAAACATTGAAAAGAAGCTTTAGCTCTTCACAGGGTTTGTCTTTTGTTGAACTGTATTATACTTTGTTATATAGTGCTGTAAGGATTTGTGCAGCTGCGAATAAATAATTATTTGATAGTAATGATCAAATTGTCATTTTCATATTTAAAATCCACAAAAAAGAAGTTTCTTTAATTAAAATTGTTACGGGGTAGCTGTCAAGTAGAGTCTAATGAGTATTATAGAGTTTTTAGATCAAAGAAGAGAAATCAACGATGAAGACTAAGGGCTTCTGATCAGAAGGCAGGGAATAGAGATTCAAATCTTCTCATAAATTTCGTCTGACCAGGTGTTTTGCGCGTTGGATTGGAGCTCTGAGAGAACAATATGTGAAGAGAAGTTCAACAGAAAATTAAGCTTCATTTGAGACAGCTTTTGTACTACTTTTTAGAACCGTTTTCTAGTACAAAATTTTCAAATTCAAAAAAAATTTATACTACAAAGTTATTTTAGAAAACAAGAAGAAAGTCATCCCAAACGAAAGATAAATCTAGCAAACTTTACAATACTAGCTTGGATTGATTCGACTGACCCATTCAGATTCATGATAGAGGCCCATTGCCTTGGTCAACAAAGATGTCATCATCATAAGGGAGCTGAGAGCCTCTTCCTCTCATAGGGATTGTATGAACAAATAGATGGCCATTTCGTGGCTTTGCTTTGGCCCTTTGATGGCTACTTAGCCTTGGGATTTGTTTCATTCAGATGGATTTTGTTTTGGGATTTGTTTCATTCAGATGGATTTTGTTAGGAGTTCAGGTCATATAAAACATATTAATTGACTTGGTTTTTGGGATAATTCTTTGATTCTACAAAATGATTTGAGGATTATGAATCAAGTTGGATGTTAAGCACCAAAAACCCCTAAAATAAAATGATTTTATTTTTTTTTTTTCTGCACAAAACAATAAAAACAAAATTAAAGTTAATTTGAATGAGATTTTTTTGAACTAAAAATGAATTTAGGCATCGTATGGGACAGTTTTTTAATTGCTTTTTAAAGTAAATTTTCAGTATAAAATTTTCATTTTTAAAAAAAAAATTGTACTAAAAATCTCCTTTATAAAATAATACGAAAGCTGTCTCAAACAAAGCCTTAAAATCAAAGTTAAATTCCTTTGAATTAAAAGTAATGGCAATTGTGCAATAAAATGGACTTCATGTATATTTTTTTCTTTAGTTGCCTTCATATTGTTAAAGGCTAAAGGGTTAAACTAACAAGACAAGAAAATGAGAGCATTCTTCATATCATCATATTCCCTAACATGTTACATAATAACCAACTAAATCATATATTTATTTTATGAAACTTAACGCTACATAATATTATTTTACTCCCAGGCCACCATTGTTTTGTTAGTAAAGAAATGGAAATTAAGCATAAATCCAAGCGTTCCATTCACTATAGAAATAAAAAGTTGGAAAACTTTCAACTTATAGGATTACCAAAATGCCCCTAGATGGCTCACCTAGAGGAGAACCAATCAAAAAATGCCTTGAAACGCCTAACTCTTGAGTTGATTAGTTGAAATGGATATAGCTTGGATTTCACATTGTCATAAAAGATCTCAATTTAATTCAACCTATATCTCTACACCTATGATATCTTAACCATGGTTTTAGGTTGGCTTCTACAATAAGTTGGGGCATTGGAAAAATTATTACGTGCGGTATTCAGGCGCGCAATGTCACGCAATACATATTGCATCGGATAACGCGGCGTGTTCGGATTGGTCTCTGGATGCGTTCGAACACCACACAAAATAATCTCTCTCTATATTGGCACGCTATAGTTGTTTTTGGTTGATGTTTCTTGTTGGCCAAGAAATCCTAGGCCATTGAAAAGCTTCCTATAGATAGTTAATGCTCTAAAGAAATCAAGATGCAAATATTATCATTTTCCATATCACATCGACTATTAATGAAGTACAACCCAACAAATCAATACACATATGCGCATATCTAAACATAGACTCACATATGATTCTGAGTTCTTCTTTGAAGGTCGTTGATGTCATGAGGTGTTTGAGCAACAAATACAGGGCTTCCCATTATGATATCTCACAATTTATGATAAGATCTTGATAAAAGTGGGCCCAACAAATACTAAGAGATCGTAGATGACAAACACGCACTTTGACATCCCGTATCACTTCTATTGCCATCATGTAGACCCAAGCAATTTGACACCCCTTATCATTTCTATTGCCATCATGTAGACCCTTAGGCTTCGTTTGGTTCTTTCTCTCCTTTTGTAAAAGGTAATTTTAGAAACAATGGTTAAGATAATTGAGTTTTCTAACGGAAAAGTAAATATCAAAAAGCTTTTCAAAATAGTAGAAAAATGAAGTTTCCTAAAAAGCATTTCTATATAAATGTCCCATCCAACCAGCGACCAAAAAATACTATCGTCATTTCTAAACAGAAAAGGAAAAAAAATGCCGAAACAAACGAGGCCTTACCAAAAAAGTAACACTTTAAATTATATATCATGAGCACTCCCAATAAAGGAACACAAAATCACTACTATATTTCAACATATTTTGTACCATTCAAAATTCAATAAAAATCATGTAAATTTCACATGAAAATTTGAATGTAAAATGTCATCACAATAAAGTCGGTTCAAAAATTTTTTGTAGGATTTCTCAAAGCTTTAGAAATATTATGATGATTTTTTTTTTCGTCCTTAAAATTAGTAAGCGATTTGTTATGGTAGAATTCATCACAAGTTTAAAATACAATTGTAATCGAATTGCTATGATATAATTCCTCCTAAAATTATGGTTGAATAGAAAACACATTGCATTGGAAACATGGTGTGTTGTAATGATTCCCTGATAGATTTGCATTAATTTTTGTTGAATTTTATCTCAAATCCATGGCAAATCAAAGCAAAAACCTAGGTGACTTGAACATTTCATTACTAAATGGGAACTTGCTCTTACCATATTTTATGGATGAACACCTTTCCCAAAAAGAGCATTCAAAGTAAATCAACTCATGAGATGTTGGTGATAGCAGAGATTATCGCCGGACATCTCACCAATTCAAGTTCCAGTTTTCACGATTAATATACAATCATAAACTCAAAAATTCCGTGTACCACACGACCAAATAAATGAAATCATCAATCAATCGAAATACAGATCGAACATCTAACATTATTAATTAATTTCTCAATACACAATCCCGGCCATTTTCTCTTGTCTACAATCAGGGATGATTAGATAAATACCTTCGATCGCCATAATCACCCACGCAGCGCCGTCCGCCTAATCTCATCCCCTTTCTGGCCATAGCTGTTTCTCCCCATTTTCTGCACCTCTATCGCCCCAAAAACCCCATACATACTCCTGCTCTCTCCATTCCCCCCATCACCGCTGCTATTGCTCAACTCCCGTTCCCTTTCATCATCCTCCTCATCATCATCATATTCGTTATCACCATCATTGCTGTTATCATCATCCATCGCCATAAGCTCTTTCCCGTATTTGATGCTCTTCAGCCTCAACGCACCGGAACTGGAGCTAATGCCCGAACTCCCCACTTCACTATCCTTCGCATTGCCCAACTTGCTGTTCTTAGCCGGATCGGCAGCAGGGGAGGTACCGAGCACAATATCAAGCACTTGGCGCATGCTCGGCCGGCGATCCGGTTCAGGCTGGACCGATCGGGACGCGGCGTGGATGATGCGGCGCAATTGCTGGCTATCGAATTCGCCGCGGAGGCGCGGGTCGACAAGCTCTGCCAAACGGCCGGCGGCGATGAGCGGCTCGGCCCATTCGGTGATCGTGCGCTTGATCCCGCCGGCGAGCTTCTCGATGGGCTTGCGGCCGGAGACGAGCTCGAGGAGCAGGATGCCGAAGCTATAGACGTCGCAGCTTTCGGAGACTTTGCCCCACATAGCGTACTCGGGGGCGAGATAACCCAGCGTACCTTTTACGCGGGTGGTCATATGGCTTACGCCGTCCGGCATTAGCTTTGCGAACCCGAAGTCTGCGACGAGGGGGTCGAAGTTGGAGTCTAGCAATACGTTGCTGGCTTTTATGTCCCGGTGGATGATGTGCGGCGTTGCCTCGTGGTGGAGGTACCTGTTTGACAATCACAGTATGTCTATGATCAATATAGATATTAAAAAAAAAAAAAAAGTAAGACTATCAGGACTTAAATTATGATCTGATAGGCTTAGGGGTGTAAAAGTGTTTTGATTAATCTAGTTTGGGCTCAAGGTTGAGTTTTATTCTATGAATTTGAGCTGGCTCGTTTGTAAAAAAAGAAAAAAAAATTATTATCAATCAAACAATTATTAAAATAAAATCATAAAAAAAAAGAAATGAGAAGAAAAATCATAAATAACCACTTAATATAAAAAATTGAGATATAATTTTTAAATATTTTAACACTATTGTCCCTAAGATCATGATATTTTAAGTGTATTTTATATTACTATATTTTAAAAGAACCGGCTTACAGGCTAACGAGTCTAGTCAAGATTGGCTCAAAATTAACTTACTAGCACATCGAGCTTGGCTCCTATGCTATTTTTCGAGTGGAGTTCGAGCAGGCTCATGTGTCTACTTGAGTAACTAACTGCCCTAGATAGACTTGAATTTTTTTTTTATTTATATTAAGATTGATATTTACATATGATATCATTCAATTCAAAGATAATCAAATGTGTTGAAAGGATACTCTTATATAATTTTCTTACTTAAAATTTATCTGATTGATTCATCAGTTTTTATGTTACAAGAATTTGTTTGTGAGGCTATTAGAGAAGAAATGATATACTTATATTATGTATTAACCTGATTGAGAGTTTATTTTAGAAAATATGAGATTTAAGACATTGGAGAAAGTTAAATATTTTTTATCTTAAAATGTATTTTTTATATAATATAGAAGACATATTATATGCATCAAAGTTTTTCCTTGACAAAAAAAAAAAAAAAAAAAAAAAAAAAAAGAAAAAAAAAAAAAAAAAAAAAAAAAAAAAAGTGAAGAGAAACTGATATAGTAATATTTTCTTCATATGAGAATATTGAGGTGCCCCACAAACCTTATTTCTAGCCTTGTTCACATAAGGAAGTTGAGGATTAATATTGACAATAAAATTCTGGTTATTCTTTAATCTTCAATGGTTTTTTACATATATTTGGGTCATTTAATTAGTCAAAATTAATTTACATTTAATATGAATTGCTCTTATCATCTCTTTTATATGGATATTTCATTAAAACCCTCTCTCCTTCAATTCAAGAAAAAATATTTTGTGCGGTCCGGTGTCCGGAGACCAACCAGAATTCATCACATCATTTTTTTTTCTTGGCACTGATGCTCGGTTCGCTGTGTACCGGGTGATGTCGCATTCTGGTTGGTCTCCAGACCGTCCGGTGTCCGCACAGAATAATTTCACCTCCTTCAAACTCACATATCTTAACTTTAACAGCCTAAAACTCTTAATCATTAAGATAATCAGTTTTGACTTAATGGCCTCACGGTTTTGCCTTCTTGGAATAACTTCCAAAGAGATCACCCATCCTTGAAATATTCTTATATGAGCACGCCTAACTTTAAAGTTTCTACTGAAATTTCAATCATTACACAAAAAAGACATGAATTTCAATTCTTCAATTCTTTTTTACATTTTTCTTATTAATAAATTGCTTGTCTAAAAGAGAAACGGGTTTCAGGGGAAGTTTAATTCAAAATATATTAATTAATAGATTTTGTTATGTAATTGATTGCCAAGTCCCCCAATAGAACAGAAAAAACTATACTAAAATGATGGTAACATTTGAAAAAGAAAAAAATTATAAACGTTAATCCTATCAAAAACTGAAGATTAAAAGAGCTAGATATGTAGAAGTAAGTATTAACGACCAAATTAACCGCGATTATATGACAATTCCAATCTTATTAATCCCAAAGCAAAACCAAATGATTTAAATGTTATTAGATGTATAATCAAACTAATCTGATTAGTAAATCTGATCAAAATATAATAATAAATCAACTTACACAAGGCCTTCTGCAGATCCAGTAATGATGTTCATCCTCTTCTTCCAATCCAGCTGCGTTTCAGTGGCAAATTGACCATGAAGATGCGACAGCAAGCTAAGATTTGGCATATAATCATAAACAATAAGCCTCTGTTCTGCTCCAGCACAATATCCTCTTAGACCCAACAGGTTCTTATGCCTCACCCTTCCCAGAATCTCAACCTCCACCGCAAATTCCATCTCAGCTTTTGAATTCATAGCTTTCAGCTTTTTAACGGCTATCTGATGCCCATCTGCAGTCTTCCCCCAATACACACTTCCAAATCCTCCCTCACCAAGCATGTAATCTTCACTGAAGCCATTAGTGGCCGCATGAAGCTCCTTATATGTGAACAACCTCCATGTTGTGCTCTCTGGTCCTCCACCAGCAAATCTACATATCAGAAGCCAGATAGTATATACCGTCAGTAGAAAAAGAAGAAGACAAAAAGTTTCAGTAACTCTTATATATAAGCATTATTACCCTTGTGTGACCTTCTCATCGCCGCAGCAAGAGCTCACCATGGAACCCATCGCTGTTACCGGCGACAAAGCTTCGCCGTGACGGTATCCTCTCCTCTTCAGAATGAAAGGATTGATGGCAGACTTCAGAGCGCTGGATCTCAGCTTTTATGTGGTATCTTCCGGCCTTCACTAAACGATAAATAATGAATTGGAATTTATTAATTAGTGCTTAGTAGTGTTTTAAAAACTAATCAAGTTTTGGCTTTGGCAACCTTGTCCGGCTCGGCCTGTCTAGTTGGCCGGCAAAGGATGAGCTAAGCAGCTAGAAGAGTTACAAATCGAATCAAGTGTTGACGATTTCAATGAGTTCTTAAGCAGCAGGCTACAAGGGTAATAGTTGAAATTTTTGTTTTTGAGTAGGGGATAGACTCCACCCATTGAACTAAAATTTTGGCGAAATTGACATTTTCTTGAATTATAATATAAGATTTTTTTTGTAGATAAAATGGATAGAAATCTTTTCCAATTTTTCATTAGAAATGTCCAATGTAATACATATATAAGGGACATAAGGCCGTTTACAAATATAATATAAAATGGATGCAAGCCTTTGGGACGGTTTTTTTACTGCTTCTTAAAGCGGGTTTTTTGTACAAAAGTTTTAATTTTTTACTAAAAAGCTATTTTTAAGTAGTAAAAAAACCGATGCTTCTTTTGGGACGGCTCTTTTATTGCATTCTAAAACAAGTTTTTAGCATAAATTTTTTTTTCACTGAAAAGCTGCTTTAGAAAGCACTAAGAAAACTGTTACAAATGAAGCCTAAATATAGATATTGACTCAACATTTGGAAATGTTCCTCAAAGAAAAAATTTATATTAAGGATATCCTAATGTAATTTTATGTTTGGATGAGCTTAAGGGTTTTTGGATTTATATTGATATTAGTGCATACATATGGTATTATAAAATGCACTAATCTCAATACAAATTCAAAGATTCTTAAGTCCATTTTGACGTAAATTATATCAGGATATCTTTAAATAATTTTGCTTCATCTTTTACTTCTAAATTAGAAGACAAAAAGTATACCACTTGAGCCAACAGCTCTTTAATGATATATGCCATATGCTGTGCTTAGGGGTGAGAGAGTAATAAAACACAAAATTTGGGTAATATTTAGTTGGAATAAATTTGATCTTGGAGTTTGGGGGATCATCATTTAGAAATTGATAAGACAGAGAATAGTACAATGTATCCTGATTGCATCTGTAATTAATCAAAATTTTCCTTTACAGCTTATATTCCTTTCTTTTTACAGTAACTGGTTTCTGTATTTGCAAGCAGTTGCCTTATAATTTTTTTTTTTTATAATCCAACATGAACCGACTTGAAAAATTCGGATTGGAATTGGCTAAATTAATTTTCGGATTGAGTTTGAGTTAGAAATCTTTACACAAGTAATTTTCGGATTAGGTTAGGGTAGCGCTGTCAAAATTGGGTCACGGGTCGGGTTTGGGTAGAGCCCGAAATTGATTCGAAACTAGTTGACTTGACCCGAATCCGACCCAATTTTGCAAACTGGTCAGATATTTCAACCCAAATCAGACCCGCGTGGATTACCGGGTTGACCCGAGCTGCAGAAATAGCAACGGCAGTGGCTCGGCAACACCGCATGCGTCACGACAACACGGGCAAATGGTGGGTAGTGCAGGCACTTGACGCGGGCAGCAAACTTAAATCATATTCAGGCTTGAATTAAACAAGTTATTTTTTGGTTAAATAAATCATATTCAATTTAAACAGGTTTTCAAGATTGTTCAACAAGTTTTACGTTGGATCTGGATTACCTAACGCCACCCTCTACTTTTCTCATCTAGGACTTGATTTAAATGGATTGTATTGATTTAAAAAATATATAAGATCTATATGATAGACCGTCCCATTAGAGATAAGCCAATTTGGGGTCAAACGTTTTGGCCCATATGATAAACAAGTTAGGTTCCTAATAAGCTTATCATGTTGAATTAATTTTGAGCCAGATTGATTCGAGTCCAATCTGCCAATCTAAATTGACACTCCTACTCCATGTTCATGTTCATGAGTGATAATTGGGGAAGATGAACGAGTCCTCAAATATTTGGTCTTCCAAATAAACGCGTAGCACATTATAGAAGAGAGAACTAGATCAACATGGCGTAAAGTTAATACATTAATTTGATCGGCGTGTTAGCATTTGACAAATTACGCAACTTGAGATGCCATGTGGATGATCATTCAATGCAGAGCATGCAGTTATTGCCAAATGGAGACTGGCGTAGTCAGTTTTTGCTTTTTATTCTTTTTCTTATAGCTTTCTTTCTAAAGAACCAGAGACGTTAATAGCGAGGGAAGCTTGTCGTTGTCATTTGGTCTTTTGTCAGTAATTGAGAACTTCTCATTCTCTGTAAGGGCAGGTACTGATAGAGATGGTGGTAGAGGTGAATACTTATTAGTACCATTAAAGAACTTCTTAAGCATATCGAGTCTTTATCCTACTATGTGACATGAGGACTTCTCAGGAGTCGCTCATCCTAGTATTATTCTCCTCCAAACATACTTAATTTAGTAGTTCTAATGGGATCTGGTGCACTGTGATGCTGGTATGATTGCACCTTGATACTTGGGTTGTGTGGCTGAAATTTGAAATATGTTGGCAAGGCAATGACCTAGCTCCTCGTCATTTGTTGTTTATGGTCATTCATGTGTGATTGTAAATTTGCTAACTCCATATGTAAAACTTTTTTTAACCCTTTACATAGCAAGTGTCAACAAATTTAAATATAAAGATTGGGGGGATTGGGAGGATCTTTTTTTTTAGATGTTAAGATTTGTCTTTCAATCTCATATTTTAGTCTAATGTCTGCCTGCCTCATCCAGAGCTATATATAGTAACTTAGCCTAATACTAGAAAATACTTAATTAAGGGAATAAAAAATAATAAAAGGTATTGTACTATGCTTAACAGAAAGGGAAAATAGCATAAATGTGGAAGTGGAGAGTTAAACTATGTGTGGTGTTTGCAGGTAGGTGATAACTGCGACAGATGACCGCATCAATTCTCCCCCAGTCCTAAGAAGCTCGACACCAACAAGATTTCTATGATGTGTATGTTGTCTAGAGGATGATAACCATGGGCGGATTTAAGGGGGGCCCAAGGGGGCAAGTGCCCTAAAAAAAAATTCTTTTAGGCTCTCACCCTCTTTTTCTCTCTCTCTTATGCATATCTTCTCTCTCTCCCTCTCTCTCTCTCTCTCCCTCTCTCTCTCTCTCCACCGTTTCTTTTTCTTTTTCAATTTGTTTTTATGGCTGACAACCTTTTCCCTAGCTCTCCCTCTTACCTCTCTCTCTCTCTCTCTCTCCCTCTCTCTCTCTCTCTTGTAAAATATTTTTTAGTCATATTTTTATTTAAATTATATTTGAAAATATACGGTAGAAAAATAATTGAAATAGATTAGTATGATAATATATAGTTTAAATAAAATTGTGTTGAAATTAATTTAGATGAACATGCCAATAATTTTTTTTTGATTATCATAAAATTATGTTCTTATAATTAAAAAAATAATAATAAATTAAAACCATAATGTCAATTTCATGCTAAAATAAAAAAGCTCCGCCATTGATGATAACTGTAGATATCCGCTACATTGAATGTGAGTGAGGTGTGGATATCGGGTGGAAGGTCAATCACATAAGCGTTATAATTAATTCATGATATATCAATTTTATATAGATGGGGCATGTCTCTAGTGTCAACTCTTCAAATTTGAGCTCATTATGAGATCTCTAGCCCTAAAAACTAAATATGTTCCCAAATGCTATAAAACATTTAAATATTTACACATTATACCACTAGACCCTCTACCCTGTGAATTTTAATCATAGGACTTCTCCAAGACCTTTGATCATATCAAAATCATTGATTATGATATATTAAACATTAAACTAGCTACATTTTGATGGACTCAATTTGACCCCTATTTGATTATGGGTCAAAATGACCAAAATGTCCCTTTAGGGCAAATTTGAAGTTTCCTCCAAACTTTAATATGACCCGGTCAAATCAAACCCTAAAATCTCTTCCAATATATTCTAAACATCATTAGGAGTGCATAAGACTCAAACCCAGACCTTGGTTAAGCCTGGTTGACCAAGCCAACCTATTTTGACTAAAATACCCCTTAAGAGTTTGAATAGCCATTTTGATCCAAATGGCCTCCCCATTGCATGGAACCACTTTCATTCAAATCAATATATATATTTTTTAAACTTGTTGAGCTTAAACCCAAGCCCTGAGTCAACCTTGTTGACCAACTCAACTTAGGTTGGTCAAACGGCTCATTAAGGGTCTAAATGGTTAATTTGACCCAAATGACTATCTTGACCCATGAGACCACATCCACTATCTTTTATTGATCAAACCAAATCTTTTGAGCCCAAATAGACCATGACTCAAACTAGGTTGACCAAATAGCCCCTTAATGATCTAAATGGTTAATTTGGCCCAAATAATCATTTTAATCCCTGGAACCACCTTTACCAGACTCCATTTATCATTTCAAATCTATTCAGATCAAATTTAGCTCATGGGTCAACCTGGTTGACCAAGTTGACCCAATACCCTTTAAGGGTTTAAATGGGTCAATCTAACCCATCTAAGCAAATTGAATATTTCAAACCCTCAAATCTACCCCAATTCATAACTTTAACATGTCTTAGTCCTCAGTTAATCAAGTCCAAGTAAAGTTGACCAAGTCAACCTACCAAGACTTGGTCAAACTGTTTTAAAACCCATTTCATACATTTAAATTCCAATCTTTAACTTCCAAACCTTCTCCAATTCATCCAAGCAACTCAAAACCTCCACATCAGTAGTCATGTTGATTGGTTGACAAGTTAACCTAGTCAACAAAGTCTTCGTGAAGGTTTTAAATGGTCAAACTATATTCTATAGGACAATCGACTCACTACCTATCCACTCTATGACTTTAAGCTGTTTTGGGGGACACTTGACTTCAATCCCCCCCCCCGCCCCCCCCCCCCCCCCCCCCCCCCCCCCCTCAAATCTATCCAACTCAAAGGGATAAGTGCCAAAACCCTTCCCAAATAATGATCACACACTCCCATTTCCAAAAACC